TCGGCGCGCGCGTGGGGATTGGCCGTCGTCGCGCGTGCGGGGGCGGTCGTCGGCGCGGGCGAGCGTCTCAGCGCTGGGGTCGGCCGTCTCGCTGCGCGCGCGGGGCGGGGGTCGGCCGTCTAGATGAGACCCCTGAGCTCGCCTCATCATCATCGCTGCGCGATCGCATCAGGGATGAAGCCTCGAGCGCGCTTCGTCTGCCTGCATCCGCCGCCGCATCCGGACGCTGCTGATTGCGAAAGCTGGCAAGCCGGTCTTTGTAGTATTGCCGGCCATTAAGGCAGTCACAGAGAGAATGAGCAAGAGCGAAAAAAAACTCCCCAGCGTGCAGAAATAAAAGCATTTTTTACGCTTTTAGAAAACTCGGAATCCTCGACCATTGTCATGTGGTAATAGTAATTTGGATAAGCATGTGCGTGTGTGCGTGCGTGTGCGTGTGAGTGTGTACGTGCGTGCGTGTGTTCGTGTGTGTGTGCGTGCGTGTGCGTGCGTGCGTGCGTGCGTGTGAGCGTGTGCGTGCGTGTGCGTGCGTGTGTTCGTGTGTGTGNTAGTAGCAGTAGCAGCAGCAGCAGCTACAGCAGCAACAGCAACAGTAGCAGCAGCAACAGCAGTAGCAGCAGCTGCAGCAACAACAACAACAACAGCAGCAGCAGTAACAGCAACAGTATCAGCAGCAGCAGTAGTAGCAGCAGTAGCAGCAGCAGCAGTAGCAGTAGCAGCAGCAGCAGCTACAGCAGCAACAGCAACAGTAGCAGCAGCAACAGCAGTAGCAGCAGCTACAGCAACAACAACAACAGCAGCAGCAGTAACAGCAACAGTATCAGCAGCAGCAGTAGTAGCAGCAGTAGCAGCAGCAGCAGCTACAGCAGCAACAGCAACAGTAGCAGCAGCAACAGCAGTAGCAGCAGCTGCAGCAACAACAACAACAACAGCAGCAGCAGTAACAGCAACAGTATCAGCAGCAGCAGTAGTAGCAGCAGTAGCAGCAGCAGCAACAGCAGCAGCAGCTGCAGCAACAACAACAACAACAACAACAGCAGTAGCAACAGCAGCAGCAGCAGCAGCAGTAGCAGCAGCAGCAGTAGCAGTAGTAGCAGCAGCAGTAGCAGCTGCAGCAACAACAGCAGCAGCTGCTGCAGCAACAACAACAGCAGCAGCAGCAGCAGCAGCAGCAGCAGCAGCAGCAGTAGCAGCAGTAGCAGCAGCATCAATAGCAGCAGCAGCAGCAGCAGTAGCAGTAGCAGCAGCAGCAGCAGTAGCAGCAGCAGCAGCAGCAGCAGCAGTAGCAGCAGCATCACTCAAGCAGCCGCCGGGAACGCCATTAAGTTGCCAAAACGCAGAATAAACGACGGTTCCATAAAATGGCGATTTCGTGAAGAGCGCATTAAGAAGCCATCTCGCCGCGTCGATCACAACGAACAACTGACAGTTATCTCTCCGCCTCATCGACAGTCACCCCGCGACGAAAATAGACAACAGAGCGCTTCATCCTTTCTCGAAGACGCTCAATTTTACTCTGATGTTCATAACACCAGCGGCGACTGTGCAGCAGTGGGGGGGAGGGGGGGGGAGGATGGGCGAGAGAGGAGGAGGTAGGAAGCAGAATACATCAACGCGATGAAGCCATCGTCACCCTGTGCTGACATGCCGACCGCTAGCGGAGGTCGCGCCGTGACTTCTTCGTCTGCCGCGAGACGCAGCGATGCAATTTGCTTACGATCGCTGCATCCCTAACACCGCCGTCGCCGCCGGCAACGGGAGGCTGCGATCGCCGTAGCGGGATTTCATTAATCAATAGGGCTTCATGCGAGGAAACGATGGAGGGAGAGTTCAAAGCCGCCGGCACTCGCAGAATGCCAGCTCTCTCGTTTTCGACCCGTGACATTTCACAATTTGCGTTAGAGAGGAGCGAATGGATATATATGTGATCGCTCATCGCAGCCGCCTAACGAAAGCCCCTGCTGCGCGGGATCGAGCGGATTTCCGCAATTAGCCACCATCCGCGAGTGTCCCCTGATAGCAGTCAGAAGACTCACCTTCACATCTTCCCGGGTCATCCTCCTGCTTTTTTCGCCGACGAAAATGTCATCAATATCAACGAGCATGTACCTGTAAACACATAAACCACATATATTATATATATACGAGCATGTACCTGTAAACACATAAACTCTGATATGTCTGTTAAGTGTGTGATGAGTACGAGCATTACTGTAAACACATAAACCACTATGTATAATATATATAATGATTAAAACACATGAACCACAATCATATAGATCTACGAGCATGTAGGGGCGCGAGAAAGAAAGAAGCAAAAAGAGAAAGAGAGAGAGGAGAGAGTATATATCATAGAATATAAGAAAGAGATGTGGGAGAGAGTGTAATGTGGAGAAGAGAGAGTTGATCCTAGGAAAGAGAAGACAGATCAGCAGAGAAGGAGAGAGAGAGAGAGAGAGAAGAGAGAGAGAGAGAGCAGAGGCCGAAAGAAGCAGAGAGAGAGGCAGATAGACAGAGGGGAGACGTAACACAGAACAGTCGAATGGGGCCAGCCACTGTATGGTCAATCAAAACATTTCTCTTCGCAGCAATCCTAACCGGGCAACGAATTTGCATATCAAAGACAGCTAATGCTTCGCGGACGGCTCCCGCATCAAACCTTTCTTTTTTTGGCCCGGGGGTGGGCATGCGGAGCCGTTTTAACTCATAATCGGTCGTGTCTTCTCTGAATATCTAGTCTGTATGCTCTTATGCTTCAAGCAAGCGGCGCGTTGGTAAAACATACCGCCCGAACTAAACATGCCCCGCCGACTAAAAACCCGCGACTAAGACATACCCGTGACCTCTTCATGTCTTCCTTCTGGGTTCTGCGCAGACACACTACTCGATTCCGCACGCTGCTGCCTCGAGTTATATTGCAATGCAGCTCGAATTAAGTTTAAATGCTGCCTTTAATATTGATGTGTCATCTCTCTTCTCCCCCCCCCCGCCTATTTCGAGCGAGCAGTATGTACAGCCCCAAGTGGTGCTTATTATTATATATATTTGAGAAAGAGAGAATAGTGAGATTTAGAGAGAGAGAGAGAGAAATAGTGAGTATTGAGAGCGAGAGAGAAAGAGAGAGCAGAGAGAGAATAATATAAATATATATATATATATTAATATATATATATTATAGAGAGTGAGAGAGTGAAGCGAGAGAGAGAGAGAGAGAGAGAGAGAGAGAGAGCAGCAGAGAGAGAGAATAAGAGAGAGAGGAGAGAGAGAGAGAGCAGAGAAGAGAGAGAGAGAGAGAGAGAAAAATTATGATTCAGAGAGAAAGAGAGAAAGAGAGTGCAGAGAGAGAGAGAGAGAAGAGAAATAGTGAGAGCGAAAGAGAGACGAGGGAGAGAGAAGGGAGAGAAGAGAGAGAGAAAGAGAGCGAGCCTAGATGAGAGAGATGAGATTCGACCGAGCGAGACGAGAAAGTCGGTGTCGTGTACCGCTGTCGGTTCAGCTCTGAAACTAAAGATAAGCCTTCATCACAGCATCATTCCGGTTATGGAACTCTCAACACATCACATCAGTTAACACCTCCAACAGGGTAATGAATGCCCTAAATCGAGGCCTCACCCAATAGACAGATGCCCCACCACTGGTTACGGTATCCAACCACTGTTCATGCATGCACCACCCCTGGTAATACATGGGTCACCCCTGGTAATACATGGTTCACCCCTGGTAATACATGGTTCACCCTTGGTAATACATGGGTCACCCCTGGTAATACATGGGTCACCCCTGGTAATACATGGTTCACCCCTGGTAATACATGGGCCACCCCTGGTAATACATGGTTCACCCCTGGTAATAGACACCCTACCCCTGGTAATAGACACCCCCACCCCTGGTAATGCATGTCTCTCTTAGTAATAGATGCTCCCGCCATTGTTGATGAATCTTTGTAGGATGCAGATAAATGCTAATACACCGGCTGACAGATTTTCCTGAACATCTCTGCGATCATTTCTCAAAGTGCGTCGGAATTAGTCAGAGCTCCCATGCACCGATCGATCACTTATATAGCCTGTGAGACGACAGCCGAGCGAAAACTGATACGCATAAGAAAATGAGCACCAGCGAAAAAAAAGAACCTAAGATGGTCACGGCCGCCCACACCGCCAGGGACGGTGTCGCCACCTGCCCCACCGCCAGCGGTGGTATCGCCACCTACCTGTCGAGTGTGATTGACAGCTTGCCATGAGAGAGGAAGGAGAGAGCGTCGAGCAGCAGCGGCCGGTGAAGCCAGAACCCGAATCCCTGACCGAACCAGACGCGCCGAATCCCATCAAAGAAGCCCTTGTCCTCGACGACGACCGCGCGCATCTCGCCGCCGCCGGCGCCCTCTGCGTCGTCCGTCCACGCGGCGCGCGCGTGCGCCACCGTCTCGTACGTCGAGTGGTTGGCGTTGAACGTTGTCCATCGCGCGGGGAGGCGGCCACGGTGCGTCTCCCCCGCGCGCAGCACGCGCAGCACGCTGGAGTAGCCGTTCAACTCGTAGTCTCTCAGCGGCACGCCCGTCGTAGCGAACATCGGGAACCCCTGCAGTTCGACGCCGCGGCGCGGTTCGCTTGCCGCCGCCCCCGTGGCGAACAACACAACGCCGACGTCGTACTCGCGGCAGTACATGTTCACGATGTCACGGTTCCAGCGCTCCATCGCCAGGTAGCGCTCGGCACTCTCGAACACGAACACGGCGTAGCGCCCCCTGTCTGCGCTGGTGAGCGCGGGCAGCGCGCCGCGACCGGCAACCTCCGCGCGGTAGCGAATGCGGTTCCAGTCTAGCAGCGCGCGCAGTTCGCGTCCGAGCTCCGAGAGCGGCGTCTCGACGAACAGGAGCACACGGGCGTCGACCCGCGGCCGCCCCGCCCCCGTCGCGTGCTCGTTGGCTGCCCGCGGCCGCGTCGGCGCCTCCTGGTGGCAGAGGAATGGCGGCTCGGGGCTGCGTGTGCGGGTCCAGCGCAGGCGGCTGCCGGACACGTGGTACAGCAGCAGCGGCACGGCAATGCCGACGATGAGTGCAGCCGCGAGCAGCCGCGCCACAGACGTTCGCTTGTTGAGGCGGCACGCCATCTTGAGTGGCGCGCACACGTAGCTGCGCGGCCACATCCGTTCACCACCGCTCAAACGTAGGTGGCGCCACGATCGGCGCTCACAAACAACATGTTTCACCCGAAATCCTTAAAGTACACGGCGAGCTGCCGGATCATGTTGCACCGGTGCTGCGGCGACGGGCTGACGTCGCTGCCATCTGTAGGTTGCCGATGCAAGTACTTTCGTCCTGGTAAGAGAAAGACAAGTCTCATTGTTATTTGCCATTTTTACCATCTTCCAAATGATGAAAGCATCTGGTCAGGTGTGTGTAAGGTTATCCCTCTACCAACTACCGTGGCGCCCCCCGGCTGCATGCTACCAACTACCGCGGCGCCCCCTGGCTGCATGCTACCAACTACCGCGGCGCCCCCTGGCTGCATGATACCAACTACCGTGGCGCCCCCCGGCTGCATGCTACCAACTACCGCAGCGCCACCTGGCTGCATGCTACCAACTACCGCAGCGCCCCCTGGCTGCATGCTACCAACTACCGCAGCGCCCCCTGGCTGCATGCTACCAACTACCGCAGCGCCCCCTGGCTGCATGCTACCGACTACCGCAGCGCCCCCTGGCTGCATGCTACCAACTACCGCAGCGCCGCCTGGCTGCATGCTACCAACTACCGCAGCGCCCCCTGGCTGCATGCTACCAACTACCGCAGCGCCGCCTGGCTGCATGCTACCAACTACCGCAGCGCCCCCTGGCTGCATGCTACCAACTACCGCAGCGCCGCCTGGCTGCATGCTACCAACTACCGCAGCGCCCCCTGGCTGCATGCTACCAACTACCGCAGCGCCGCCTGGCTGCATGCTACCAACTACCGCAGCGCCCCCTGGCTGCATGCTACCAACTA